GGCCCCGTAGAAATAAATTTTAACAAGTGCTGGGGATGAGGCTCAGGGCAAAGGCTCTGGGTTCACAACTATGGCTGTGGCTCACGTCAAATGGACAAAAGAGCGTCATTTGACTTTCCCACTGCTTGGAAGAGGCCGGACTTGTCACTTTAGTGATTCAGGCAGAAAGGATCTTGTGCTTACAGCTGCCTTCTTACAATTTCTCCCCAACTGTGAAAACTTCAAGGTTAAGAAGCCAGGTATAAGGACATTGTCATGTAGCTGGCCTGTCACAGTTGTCCTACCTCCCATAAACCCTGAACTCCAGGATACCTAGGTATCTTTTTTTTTTGGCGGAACCGGGGATTGAACTGAGGCGCCTGAGCTTGCCAGACAAGCGCTTATTCTGAGCCATCTCCCCGGCCCCGATACCTGGGTATCTTGCTGTGCCTGTAGAGTTTGTACTCAGCAACAGGCCAGAATTATGCAACTAGAGCATGGAAAGACATGCACGCCTGGGCTGCCAAGATCAAATGCCACCCTGCCTCTCAGGCTTGCCTTCCCAATGCCCTCTCTCTTCTGTGCTTTAGTGGCTGCTGGGTGGCTCTTGGGGCCTGGGTTCGAGGCAAGACCCTCTTGGGCCTCAAAGTTAGTCAGATCCACCACAGCTTTGGCTTTATCTCCCCATGCTGGAAGTGGTTAGCATAGGACATGACTTGCTCTGATCACACTGGATCAAGTGTCACGAAGGACAAACAAGAAGTGCAAAAGCAGCGGGGACACATAGAAAGAGCAGCAGATTCAGGTTTGAGGTGACTGCACAGGGTGTAGGCAGCATGCGGCCCAGACAAATGTTGTTGCACTTGGTCATGATTTAATTGAAGAACATACTAGTGAACACACAGTAGTATCTTGCTCCTTATGCTTTTTTCTACACATCTGTAATCCATCTTTTTTTCTTTTTTCAGTACTGGGGATTGAACTCAGAACCTTGTGCTTCCCAGGCAAGTTCTTATTCTATCAGCCCATGTAATCCATCTAAATGAAAGTGGTTTTCTTTTTGGAACCGGGGATTGAACTCAGGCTCTTGCCCTTGAAAGGGAAGCACTTTTTTCACTGAGCCATCTCCCTGGCCCCGTTTTTTTTTTTTTTTTTTTTTTTTTTGCGGAATTGGGGATTGAACTCAGGCCCTTGTGCATCTACTTAGCTATCTCCCCAGCCCCTAAATGAAAAAAGTTTTCAAAAATCAGCAGACATCAGCACAAGCCAGGTACAGTTAGCGGCACACAGCTGTAAATCCTGCTACTTGGGAGGCTGAGGTGGGAGGATCACAAATTCTTTTTTTCTTTTTTTTTCAGAACCAGGGATTGAACTCAGGTGCTTGTGCTTGCCAGGCAAGCCCTTATTCTACTGAGCCATCTCCCTGGCCTCTTTCTTTCTTTTTTTCTTTCTTTCTTTCTTTCTTTCTTTCTTTCTTTCTTTTTTTTTTTTTTGTGGAACCAGGGACTGAACTCAGGCCCTTGTGCTTGCCAGGGAAGTGCTTATTCCACTGAACCACCTCCCTGGCCCCTGGATCACAAATTCTAGACCAGCAGGAGCAACTTAGATTCTACCTCTTCCCTTAAAAAGGATGAGGATATAGTGCATTGTTTGGCCAGCATACCTGTGGTCCTGGGTCCCACTCCCAGTACCACTAACACTACCACTGTGACCACAACCACCACCAGGACTACTACAGACCCAGCTCCAAATGATACAAGTTCCTCCTTGTCCTGGACACCACTGTGTCCCTGATGGCAGACAGGTTAAGTACTATTTCCTGGCAAAGCGTCAGCATCTGTCATCCCAGCAGGCCACTTGGCCATCTGCGAAGCCCAGCCTGCCCCTGTGCTTGTGTGTCTATCTGAAGAGGGGCTTCTCCCACAGTGGGCAAGTAGTTTGTCCCATTCCCTTGAGCTGTGTGTGCTCTGACCAATGGGCTGAATGAGTTTCTTTTTTTTCTTTTTGGCGGAACCAGGGATTGAACTCAGGCCTGTGCGCTTGCCAGGGAAGCACTTATTCCACTGAGCCATCTCCCCGGCCTTTGCATGAGTTTCTCTGCCTACAAGTCTCATCGGCTTTCTCCAAGCATTGACTGTGGAAAAGGGAAGCACTGTTGAGCAAAGGGAGCCAAGAGGCAAATGCAAAAACAAGAAATTGCAGATCATCTTCCTGGAGATGAGGTCAGAATGTCTTGTCAGGTTACAGAAACAAAGACCCAATGGCAAGGAAGACAGCAAAGGAGTGAGGTATGGAACTTAAACTTACTAAGGAGATCATTAGTATCTTTTCTTTTTCCTTCTTGGCGGTACGGGGATTGAATTCAGAACCCTGTGCTTGCCAGGCAGTTGCTTATTCCACTGAGCTATCTCCCCAGCCCCAGTAACTTTTCATTTCATTAGTAACTTTTCTAAGGATAATACTAACTTTCCACTGACACATAGGCTGTGCCCTGATACACCCAGAGCAGAGATCGGGAGAAAAGAGAAATGGCACTAACACTTACGTTTCTTTCTGTATCCAAGAATAGTGAGAGTTTTCTAACCCGATGCGGTCATCCAGAGCAAAGAGAGTCTCAAGTTTGCTGGTCATGTTGGGACTTAGGATCCTGTGTGTCTGTGGATCCCGCAGAGGTGTCTGAAAAGTCACCTATGGGAGAGTGAGGAGGACAGAGCACCTGTTCACAACTACACAGGCGGTGGCATGCAGAGCCTCAGTGAGCACAAAACAGAGCCCACTCTTACCTTGGTGGCTTTAGCTGGGTTCTTGGGTGGTACATTATCCTTTTGTGACAGACCAAGAACAGATGTTCTTCCGGTAAGGGCTGTTGGCGAAAACAGGAAGTTGCAGTGTTCTGCATTTTTTTCACGGGTGACGTTTTCGTCGTTTACAACTTGCAGACTCATTCTAGAAAAGTAGAACACACTAGCATCAGTGTGAGGGCGAGGATACTGCATTGCCTAGACAGACACAAGCCATGGATGGAGTACCCCCACAGGGATGTAGGGAGATGTACTTTTTGGCGAGGGGGTTGGGGGGGCAGAACCAGGGATTGAACTCAGGCCCTTCTACTTAAGAGGCAAACGCTTATTCTACTGAGCCATCTCCCCGGGCCCGAGATGTACCTTTCTTAACAGGTACTCCCTGTAGGTGGGGCTGGAAAGCCTGGGGTGAATCCTGTCTTGCTTCAGGCAGCACTGCTCAGGTTAAGCAGAGAACCAGTGTGGAGAAGGACTCTTACTGTGGCACCATGCTGTGGGGCAGGAGCCAGAGAAGAAACCCAAAAAACCCCCAAAGCCTCAAAGAAAACCAAAGAGCCAGAAGGAATCTGGGTTCTACAGGGGCCTGTGCAAATCCAGCACCACAAGGGGCAGGTGAGGCGAGACCACAGAACAAGAGAATGGGACTCAGTCCATTTGCACCCACTATGCAAAGGACAGAGATGGGGGCCAGCACTGGGAGGAGCGGTGGCTGACCTGACTTGGAAGCCCACCGTGGAGACTCGTGGATGGACAGGGAAGAAAGAGCAGAAGTGATGAAAACAGTCTCCTGCAGCCAGTGGAGGAGAGCTTGGACAGGGCTTGAACCATGGTGCCAAGTGGAAAAACAGCAGTCACTGGCAATGGTAGGTTTTCAGCTCCGAGGAGCCCTGTTATAGGCAGGGCTGGACAGAGGGCACCGGATGGCTGTATACATAAGACTCCAGGATACAGGGATTAGAGGAAGCCTAACTTTTTTTTTGGCGGAACTGGGGATTGAACTCCTGCCCTTGCGCTTGCCAGACAAGCATTTATTCTACTGAGCCATCTCCCAGGCCCCAGCCCAACTCTCTTGAGATGGGGTCTTTGCTGATGATGCCTGGTGGATTGGCAGGTGTTTATGACCAAGGCTTTAGCACTAAGAGTCGCACCACATGTGGGGTCTCAAGAGTTTGCCTGGTGGTTAGCAAGGGAGAAGAGGGTGGCCTGGACTCCGAGGAACGCTCATGCATGCACTCGCTGGAGGGTGCTGGAAATGAGAAACCTGCAAGCAAGGGGCAGGCACTGGGAAGCTGGAGAAAAAGCGTTTTCAAGAGAAATTTCGAGGGCCAGGGAGATAGCTCAGTTGAGTAAATGCTTGCCTGGCAAATGCAAGGTCCCGAGTTTGAGCCCTGGTACCAAAAAAACAAAACAAAACAAACAAACAAACAAACAGAGAGAGAGAAAGAAATTTCGAGGGTGGGGCCAGGCCCGTCAGGAGGACTGAAGTTATAGGACCAACAAGCAAGAAGGTGTCTCTAGGGGCCGGGGAGATAGCTCAGTAGAATAAGCGCTTGCCTGGCAAGCTCAGGGCTCTGAGTTCAATGCCTGGTACCAAAAAAAAAAAGTGTTCCTGGGACGGTGGCAAAAGCTCGAGCAGGAGGAAATGGGTCAGCAGAGAGGCGGGGCAGAGCCACGGTCTCCGCGAGCCGCGGTGGAGAGTAGGACTTCTGCGGCAGTAACCCGCCGGCTGGGGAGCGGCCCTTCCCCGGGGCCCTTCCGAGACGCAGCCCGGCGGAGGTCAGCTGGCCCCCGGCTCGGGACCCTGGCCGCTCCCACCCCTTGTGGGCTCCCAGCAGCCGCTGCCTACCTGCCCGCCGCTGCTGGGTGGTGGGCCCGCGCTGCCGCCCGCCACGGGGAAAGAAGTGCGCCGTGCAAGCAAAGCGAGTCGAAGAAAGGAGATCCGCCTTTTCAGTTCCCTACGGTACCCGCCGCGCCGGAGAATTCAAATACCGACGGTTGGTGCCGCGTGCCCAATCAGCTTGCGGTCGACGGCGGCGGCGCAGCCCGCGACCAATAGAAGGCCGCCTGTTACAGACCCCGCCTCCTCACGCACCAACAATTCCGCTTCCGGGATCGAGGGCAAACTGGGAGCGGCTGGCCCTCGTAGCTGTGCTTGGGCGCTCGCGGTTGGGTAGCAGCTTCAGATCCCGCCATTGCCCCGGGAGTTTCGGGCTATGCTGCGGACGCGAGAGTGCTGTGCGGTATAGCCCGGGCCAGAGACCAGCTTACTAGGACCCCACTTCTCTTAGCTGTGAATTGAAACCTGGTTTAGCGCCTCCTACAGGGTTGCTCAAGACAAGACACTTGCACCTTCGTGGGGACTAGCTCAGCAGCCCACCGTGCGGGGGCCCTGAAATCCTCCCAGAGCGCCTCGCAGTCCGCCCGGAAGGAGACTCAATTTCCCAGAGGGCCCCGCGGGGGGCGGGGCAGAGGCGACTCGGCTTCCCAGCGTGCCTTGCGGGGTACTCGCCAGAGTCGATCTCCCAGGGTGCCCTGCGGTAGGCCTGGGGCGACGCCTGTACCAAAGGTAACGGCGACTGCAATGACCACGATCCGCCGATCGCCCAGAACAGGACGTGTGGGTTTCTTACCTCTCTGGGGGCGGCGGCGCGATGGACAGCCCGGAGATGACCTTTACGCTGGCCTACCTGGTCTTCGCCGTGTGTTTCGTGTTTACACCTAACGAGTTCCACTCGGCCGGGCTCACGGTGCAGAACCTGCTGTCCGGCTGGCTGGGCAGCGAAGACGCAGCCTTCGTTTCCTACCACCTGCGCCGCACTGCCGCCACGCTGCTGTGCCATTCGCTGCTGCCGCTCGGTGAGTCTCCAGTGTAGGTCCGGGGTCGTCCGAGTCAGGCGCGATCCTCACCTGGAGGTGACTGAGGCGAGGTGCTGGCCGTTGGACCCGCGGCGCCAGGAGGGGACTGCACTTAGCTCCCCCGCTGGGACAGGGCCCTGAAGCCATCGGTGGGTGGGGCAGAGCTACCTGAGGTAGCGGGACCCTAGCGCAAGCCCAGGCTGAGCGGGCAGGAGTTTTGGGGTCTTTGCTTTTTACCAGGCTTGCAAGGGAAAGAAAAGCTCCGGTCCAGCAGTTCAAGTCCTGGGCCTTACTGACTTCGGCGTGCACAGCGATGCTGTGTGTGTGTGTGTGTTGGGGGCGACAGGTGCACAGGCCTCAGTGCCAGGCCAGGACTCTCAGGGGCTGTTCAGGCCAATACTGGGCCATCAGGCACTAGGGGAGCCTCAGGGAGGTGGCTCTGCGAGCTGGCTGGGGGGTGGATTGAGGACAGTGTTGGGATATGGCAGTAGCTAGAGATGGGGAAGCAGGTGGGAGGCCTTTGGAAGTCAGACAGAAAACGTTATGACTGGGAGGACAGATGACAAGTGGCTTTGTCACACCTGCAGCTCTAGAGACAGGAATTGTTGGGGTGGGGACGAAGCAGCCTGCACACTGCACAGCTGGAGGCAGCTATGGGGTGGAGGTATCCTTGCCATGGGATCCCCATTACATAAATGGGGATCCCAAACTTGGGGAGCACAAGCCACACCAGGATGCCAGAGCAGATAGTAGAGCCAGTCTTAATGTCTCACCAACTTCTGTTTCTGATTTTTGGAAATTTGCTAGTTTTATAGACTTATTAGTTACTTGTTGCAGCATGACAAATTATCTTAGTATATAGTTATTTGGCCAGAAACAAGCATTTATTATCATACTTTGCAAGCTGTAGCCTGCCTCTGCAGTCCTTCACGGTCTGCTCTACCAGTCATGTTGACATTCAATTTGTCCCTTATGTGCCCTGGCCCCCAGGACCCTGAAGTGGGCCAGAGTGCAGCCAGATTGTTATATGTGTTTTCATTTTACAATTTTAGGATTTCTTTTTAGGTTATTTTCCTCTGTTGTTTATGTGTTTTTTTTTTTTTTTAAACATTTATTTATTTTGTGTGTGTGTGTGTGTGTGTGTGTGTGTGGCCAGCTCAGCCCACCAGGGGGCGGGGCTGGCTGGCATGTGGTGCTGGGGATTGAACCGCAGTCCCTGTGCTTTGCCAAGCTTGTTCCAAGTAGGTGCTTTAGACCACTGAGCCATCTCGCCAGCCCTGTTTATGTGTTGTGTAAAACTAAGTTCAAAATGTTTTTCCCTGACATATGTACTAGTGCTGTTGTTACTGGTGGAGCCAGGCCTGCTGTGAAAGTAGAGGGGTGGTGAGGCCAAGGGCAAGTGACAAGAGAGGAAGTGGCCCTTTCCTTCTCCCAGCTCAGAGGTGGCTACTACCGAGGGAGGATTGCCTCAGCAGCCCTCACCCACCCTGAAGTAACTTCTTCTTTGCAGGCTACTATGTCGGCATGTGCTTTGCAGCCTCCGAAAAGCAGCTATACTCTCCTGGGCAGGCCTCAGAGGCCTGGCAGCTCCTCCTCGTGCTGGCTGTGGCGCTCCCCTCTGCTGCCTGCACTCTGATCTACTACTGGTCCCGGGACCAGTGGGCCCACCACCCACTGGCCCGCACGCTGGCCCTCTATGCCCTCCCACAGTCAGGCTGGCAGGCTGTTGCCTCCTCCATCAACACTGAGTTCCGGCGTATAGACAAGTTTGCTACTGGGGTGCCAGGTGCTCGTGTAATTGTGACAGACACGTGGGTGATGAAGGTGACCACATACCGTGTGCATGTGGCCCAGCAGCAGGACGTGCACCTGACTGTGACAGAGTCTCGGCAGCACGAGCTCTCGCCAGACTCAAACCTGCCTGTGCAGCTTCTCACCATCCACATAGCCAGCATCAGCCCTGCTGTGCAGCCCTTCGACATCCGGTAAGTACTTGGTGGCCTTCATGTCCCTCTGGGGCCTGTGTGACACCACCCTTAGGGCCACTGCCTCAACTTCCACACATGCCATCCCTCTCTGAGCTTCCTAGGAAACAGGCTGGGATGGCTTGGGGTTGTGGCTAGGTGACACCTTGGCTTCCAGCTGTTCCAGCCCCTCAGGGTGGGTGACCTTGGGTCCGTGGGCATCTTTGCTGGCCACTGCCCTGGACATCTCTCCAAGGCCCCAGGTCAAGGGCCCACAGGCTATACTTCCTACAGGCTGAGCTCCACAGAGTATGGCGAACTGTGTGAGAAACTTCAGGCCCCCATCCGTAGCGCGGCCAACGTGGTCATCCACCAGAGCTTGGGCGACCTGTTCCTGGAGACATTTGCCTCCCTGGTGGAGGTCAACCCAGCTTACTCAGTGCCCAGCAGCCAGGTGGGGCCAGATCTGAGGGGTGGGGTGGGCTGCCTTCAGGCCATATCACTGGACTCTTGTGACTCCTGTGCCCCTTGCAGGAGCTGGAGCCCTGCATTGGCTGCATGCAGACCCGAGCTAATGTGAAGCTGGTGAAGACCTGCCAGGAGCCGGCCACAGGGGAGTGCCAGCAGTGCTATTGCCGCCCAATGTGGTGTCTCACGTGTATGGGAAAGTGGTTTGCCAGCCGCCAGGACCCCCAGCGTCCTGACACCTGGCTGGCCAGTCGTGTACCCTGTCCTACCTGCCGGGCGCGCTTCTGCATCCTGGATGTGTGTACTGTGCGCTGAATGTTACTGTGGGTGTTGGTGGGGCCTTTGGGGTCTGAGCCTGGCTCTGTCTCCATCCAGCTGCGTTTAGGAGCAGCTAGTGCCCTGGGCCCCTGCCAAAGGCTGGATGCCAAGCACAGCATTTGCACCCCTCTTCCCAGGGCAGTCAGCACCTTCTTCTGCGCTTACTTGGCTCTGGATGAGGCAGGTGCTCCACACTGAGTTCACCAAGGCCCGAGGCCCCTAGTGTGACCGAGTGGGCTTCACCTGGTCACGCTGCCTTACCTTTATGGAGCACACTTGCTCTCAGTTACCAGCCAGACTCTTGTCTGACCCAACCTGCTCTCCAGCCCCGTCCAGCCTGGCCACTTGCTGGCACGCAGAGGCTGCTGGGAGGACCGGGGTGGAGCCCGGTGGTGGAGGGGAGATGGGGAACCACTCTTCTGTGCTTGCCCAGCCTGGGGCTTCCTGGTGGCTGCTGGAAATTGAGGGCCACCCCTGGATCAGGAAACAGGTGTGGCAACCTGTGGATAGGCCAAGTGGTACTTGAACATTCATGGGACCTGCCCTGTGCCTACAAGTCCTCACTGTGCTCTTGGTGCCTTTCCTGCTAACCCAGGCTACAGAAGGCCAAAGCCTCAGACACTTGGCCTAGGGCAAGGGTGGAGGGAGGTGTTGCAGAGTTAAAACCCCAGGTGTCGTGGTGACACCTAGAGCCTTGTCTCCTGGGACTGTGTAGAGCCAGGCCTTAGGCCTGGGTGGGTCTCAGCAGAGGCACATGCCTCTGAGGGGCATGCTGCCCGCTCCACATGGTGCAGGTGGGAGACTCGGCAAAGGCACGCGTGCTGGGTCTTCACACTGTGGCCCCCACCAGAAGCCGCCTGACTTTCAGCCGCCCCTGGCCCAGGCCCGCTCGGCAGAGCAAGGTCAGTTCTACAGGGTGGGAGTGCTGGCGTCCTGCTCTACAGGGTGGGGGTGCTGGCGTCCTGCTGCGGGAGCAGAGTTTCTGGGTGGATTGAGGTTTCTTCTTAAGTTAAATTACTTTTGTAAATAAAAATGTAGCTAAGTAGTACAGTGCTTAATAAAAGATTACTACCAAGTGCTGTATTTTGGCTTCACCTGACTTTAAAGCTTTACAGCATTTGGGGCAGTGGTTGGAGGTATCGGGAAAGATGGGTTAGAAACAATGGTGTGACAGCGTTTTGTCCAGGGAGAAAGCAGGTGGGAACGCGCCATGCCCATGAAGGGCCTCTGTGGGATGCCTTGTGGAGTTGGAAAGGGGCAGGGCATGCACCCAGTTGACCCCAGAAAACGTGCCCTCATGCCCAGGGCGCAGACAGCTGCTCGGGCTGGGACATCTTCAGCCTTGTCCTTTAATAGTGGGCCCAACAGGCCGCTGAAACCCATAGGGCCCAGGACCACCGATAGAGAGCGAGACTCTGGTAGTCCAAGGTCCAAGGCCTGGGATTCCTTCAGTTGGTCGCAGCGCGTGAACGGAGTCCCTAAGCCGCGAGGAGAGACCCCGCGGCCGGATCGGATCAGTGACGGCAGGTGTGCGACTGTGAGCACCAGCGTAATGGCCATTTTTTGGCCGAGATTACTCCAAAGCTTTTAATGATTTACAGGGTGGTGGGGTGGTGGTGCACGCCTGCAACCCAGGCGTCTAGGCTGAAGCAGATCCCTGACTTGAGGCCGGCTTGGGTTACTCAGAGATACGAGTGGCTGGAGAGTAAACTCAGTAAGAAGGTCGTGGGTTCCACGCCATTACCACGAAAACAGAATCCAAAAAAGCGACACTCCAAGGCCCAGGCCCGCGGGCGCTGCCGCGTGGGCGGGGCCGCCGCAGCCCGCACTGGCGCCTTCCGGGGTCGGGCTCGGAGGCCCGCCCGGCGCGCGGCTGCGGCGAGGCGCGCCTACGGTGGGCGGGCCGCTGGTGGGCACGCCTGCTCAGCCCTTCCCGGGCGGCCCCGGCGCGCGCGCCGAATCTCCCGCCAATACCCTCCGCCCGCGAAGGCGCGGCCAATCAGCGCTCGGACCCCTGGGGCGCCGGCCGCCCGCGAGCCTGCGGGGGCTGATAGTTCCTTTGGCGTTGCTCGGAGAAGCTGTGGCCCTCGCCCCGCTTTCTCGGGAGGCGGTCTCCGGCGGCGCAGGCTCGCGGCTCCCCACTGCCTCCGGCCTCGGTCCAAGCCCTGGTGCATCGCGAGGCGCTCGCGCCTGCCAGCCTCCTCCCCCGCTCGTGGGGGCCTCGTGGTCTCGCCCGGCCCCGCGCGCGGGAGAGCCGAGGGGCGGGGCCTGGCGCACTTAAGCGCGGTTGGGGGCGGGGCGTGCCCAGAGACGGCCGGCGCTTTCGACGCCTCTTGTGTCTCGTCGCCGCTGCACTTCGGTTGTCCGCCATGGCTTGCCGGCCGCGAGGCCTGCCCGGGTACTCCAGGTGAGCTGGCCGTGCGCGGTAGGCGGGCCCGGAGGCGGTCGTGCGGGCCGTGAGGGCACGGTTCCTGAGCTGCGGGGTCCCGGGGAGGCGGTTCGGGGCGGGCGGGGACGGTTCCCGAGGTGTGGGGGAGGGGGCCTGGCCGGCCGGACCCGACCCGACCCGACCCGACCCGACCCGCAGCCCGCCATCCCCCGCGCGCTGGAGCTTCGGGCGTAAGCGCAGAGCCGATGGGAGGCGCCGGAAGCCGGAGGAGGACGAGCGCCGCGCCGATCGCAGGCCCGAGAGGTGAGGTAGCCGCGCGGGCGGGGGGTGCGGGGCGGTGTCCGCGTCGCGCTGTCGGGAAGGTGCAGTTCGGGGACCCAGTTGGGGGTCCTTTATCTCTGCGCCCCGCCTGGAGAGCATCTTTCCGGGGATAGGTGGCGGCAAAACTGGTTTCAGCCGGAGCAGGTCAGCTAGGTTTATTAGGCTGTACAAGAGTGCCAGAGGTGTCCAGACACCGTCTTTGAAAAAACCCAAGGTGCTAGTTGTTTTTTTAGCTTTAGTCGTCTTTGAGAAGGTAAGTGTTGTATCAGAGTCCTAAATGTGTTACGTGAGAGCCAGAATGAGAGGCAGAGCTTGAGCTCGCTGATCCTTGCCTCCTGATGCTTCCCAGGGTGCTCTGTGAGAGCCTATGTTGCTGTATTTTGAGTCGAGCGTTTTCTAAGTTAGGCGGTTTGCCAGGAAGGACAGGATGCCAGTTGGACAAGGTAGCTGGGAGTGGAACAGGAAGGTAACAGGGTAATTCAGGGGGGCCTGAAGTAGGCAGGAAACAGCGATGTGGGCAGTTCAGGGGAGAGGTTTCAGGAGAGTTGGTCGGTGTTGACCGGAGGTGGGGGTGGGGTGAAGGAGGTGGTGTTTTATGCCCAGGCCTTTATTTTTTGTTACTATTATTATTATTATTATTATTTTTTGCGGAACCAGGGATTGAACTCAGGCCCTTGCACTTCCCAGGGAAGTGCTTATTCCACTGAGCCATCTCCCCAGCCCCTGCCCAGGCCTTTAGCTCGGGGAGGTTTTTGGTCTCTTGAGAGTTGTTAGAGGGTAAAGACATAGTAGCTCGGCCAGGACCACAGGGGGCAGCGAAGGTGGTGGGGAACTCAGGTTCAGGACACTTGCGGGCAAGCCCTCTAAGACTTGGTGCTGCTGGATAAGTGGAAAATCCCAAGTTTTTGGGCTCTTGGTGATTGGGAGACATTCCCCCTCTTGGAGAGGGTGGGAGCCCGACAGTCCTCAAGTGGAAGTGGTCAGTGGGAGTCCCTAGTTAAGGCTGATTCCACACACCAGTGATATTTGCAGTATTTAAAGACTTGGGTATGGGGGCCTGGCCCCAGCTCAGTCCTTTAAGTGGCTGCTTCCACAAAGCTGTCAGCCTCAGGTTCCTGGAGTTTGAACCTCACAACTCTCCCGCTGGCCAAAAGTGCCCTGAAGGCATTCGAGGAAGGAAAAAAAAAAAAAAAAAAAAAAAAAAAAAAAAACCCTTAAAGACTTGAGTATAAGAGAACTTGGAAGAAGGCCTAGCGCGTAATCGCCCCTCTCCACTCTGGCACCTGAGGGCGAAAAGCTCAAGGCCAGAGTAAACAAAAATTTGGAGATCAGTTTCTGAACTCTCCTTTAGTCTCCTTTAGCTGAAGAGCAAATTTACGTTCTTGGGCCAGAGAGATGGCTTAGTAGAATAAGCGCTTGCCCCTGAGTTCAATCCCAAGTCGTCCCCCCCCCAAAAAAAAAACCCGTTCTTAGCCAGTTTCTTTTTTCTTTTATTTTGGGGGGGGGCAGAACCAGGGATTGAACTCAGGCCCTTGTGCTTGCCCAGGAAGCACTTATTCTTCTGAGCCATCTCCCCTGCCCCTCTTGGCCCCTGTTAGCCAGTTTCTTGAAGGTGGTAGTACCTGCACCGTAGTCTTGTAGTTCATAGGTGGGTCATACAACCTCTTCCTTCTTCCAAAACAGCAGAAATTTGTCAGTCCATGGCCTCCCCGCTTGTCCTGCACTGTGTGCTTTGTAGAGCTGCCTGCAGGCACCCAACAAATGCAATATCTGCCTCTAGTCTGGGTGTGATGGTGGGGAGGGAAAGCGGTCCCAGTGGAAAAGAAGTTAACTCAGTGTGTGAAAGCAGGCTTGTCACAGAGGGTAGATTATGAATATAATTTGCCTAATTTCAGAAATGGGTTTTAGCCTCCCAAAAGGTATTGCAATATGCACTCTTTAAACTGTTCTTGTAGTTCAGATATCTGTCCTGGCTGGGAGATAGAGGCCTGTTGCTCCTCATGTACTAGTGAGCATGGTGGAGTCCACCCAGCTCTGGGCAGACCTCCATTTGATTCTGCTCTGTACCTGTGACAGAATTATTGAGTCAACTTTCAGTTGCCAATTTTGATTTCAGACCTTTTAAGCCATTTTTATTTTGATACCCATATCTATGTATATTGAGTTGGGGTTCTAAATTGCACAGGCTGGGTTTGAACTTGAGGTCCTCTTGCTTCAGCATCTCAGGATTACAGAATTTCCAGAAGTTACACAGATTCTAGGATTGTAGCGGCTTTCCATTTTTAAAATCCAGAAGATTACTTTTATGTTTTGGATTGGAAGTAGTAGTTTAATTTGTCATTTAACTATAGAATAAGTGTTATGTTCAACAGTATTTGTATAAGTTAAAATGACAGAAGGGTGGTTTTTTTTTTTTGGCCTGAGGTTGCCTTCAGCGCAGGTCTGGTTTGGCTTGAGTATCTGGGTTTTGAACCACAGCGCCTGAGACTGACTGCTTTGTTTAAGCAGGCACTTAAACTGAGCTAATGGGCAGGCCCCCTGGAAGATTACTTTTATTTGTTTGGTGGAACTGGGCATTGAACTCAGGCTCTTGAGCTTACTCAGGCAAGCGCTTACTCTACTGAGCTATTTCCCTGGCCCCAGGCTCACTTATTTAAATTGCATTTTTAAAATTTTAAACATAATAGCTAGAATACAGGAGGTTTTTTTTTTTTTTTTTCCAGTTGTAATCAGTGTCCAGGGGCTGGTGAGATGGCTCAGTAGTCTAAAGCACCTACTTAGAACAAGCTTAGCAAAGCACAGGGACCACATGCCAGCCTGCCCCGCCCCCTGGTGGGCTGAGCTGCCCCCCTCACAAATTAAAAAAAATTAAAAAAAAAATTAAAAAAAAAATCAAATGTCCAATTTTAAAAAAAATTGTGGGCCCAGGGAGATAGCTCAGTAGAATAAGTGCTTGCCTGGCAAGCACAGGGTTCTAAGTTCAATCCCTGGTATCGCAAAAAAAAAAAAAGTGTATTTTCCAGTATATGGAGTGAGCCTAGGGTCTCACATGTGTTAGGGAAATGCTTCATTCTTGAGCCATATCCCCATCCTTTTAAAATCATTTTGAGATGGTACTAAGTTCTCAGACTAGGCTTGAACTTTGTGATGTTCCTGCCTTAGTTTCCCAAGTAGCTGGGGTTATAGGTATATAGTATCATGCCTTGCCAGTGTGTAGTTTTGGTGCATTAGAAAAGGTGAATAGGAAAGTGGGGAGAAAAAAGGGAAATGTAAGCCTATAAATAAGGAGTACTTACAGCTAGAGTTTTTGGCACTAATCCTTGAGTTTTTAAATTGCCAGTTTTCTCCACTTTGAGATAAAATTGAATTCCTAAATTAGTTATAATTTAGGGCTGGGAATGTGGCTCAGTGGTGGAGTCTTGCCTTGCATGCACAAGGCCCTGGGTTTGATCCCCGGCACCACAAAACAAAATAAAATGACTCAGTGTAGGTGTGCCCCTTTACCTTACAGTCCCATGTAAGCAGCAAAGACTCAGAAATACATGTACATTATAACTGCAGCATGTGTTCTATAGCACAGGCATCTGAAAGGTAGGTCCTGCCTTCCTGTTTTTCAGTGGACTGTGTCCCCCCATGATTTAGCCAGCGCTTGCACACAGTGGGTGGGAAGTTTTTTTTTTTTTTTTTTGTGGCCTGCTCTGCCTGCCCTGGGGGTTGTACTGCATTTGGTGCTGGGGATCTGAGCAAGGTCCCTGTGTTCCTGCCTGCTTCCCTAAGCAGGTGCTTTAGACTGCTAAGCTGTCTCACCAGCCCATGAGAACTTTTCTGATGAAATTCTAGGAAAGCCTGAAAAGAATTATCGAAACTGAATTAGAAAGTTTGGAGCAGAGATTTTCTTTAATGTTGACTTCCTAAGTTTATTTTCTGGCCTTCTGCTCAACAGCCTCACTATAGCCTGACCTATTGGAAAGGAAACTGAAAATTCTTTCAAGTTTTGAGGTGCATTTCCATTTTATTTCAGCTTCACAACTCCTGAAGCCCATAAGCCCCTATCTAGATGCTCAGACTGGGCAAGTGCAGTTGAAGAAGATGAAATGAGGACCAGAGTTAACAAAGAAATTGCAAGGTACACGTTTTGGACTGCTTTGGATTTTTTTTTTTTTTTTTTGGGAGATAAGGTCTCTGTAGTGCAGACTAGCCTTGAACTCACTGTGTAATCTAGGCTGCTCTCAAACTTATCCTCCTGCATGTGTGTGTAGCTTTTTATTTATTTATTTTTTTAAAATTCTTTATTTATGTGTGTGTGTGTGTGTGTGTGTGGCCAGCTCAGCCCACCAGGGGGCGGGGCTGGCTGGCATGTGGGGCTGGGGGATTGAACCGTGGTCCCTGTGCTTTGCTGAGCTTGTTCTAAGTAGGTGCTTTAGACCACTGAGCCATCTCACCAGCCCCTGTGTAGCTTTTTAATTACATATTTAATCTAAAGTATGTCCTAGAGCAGTGGTTCTCAAAAATTGGTTCTCAGACAAATGATTAGGCTATCGTGGGAACTTCTTAGAAATACATGTTTTCTTGTCTACAGCCATACCACCCTAAATGTGCCCGATCTGATCTCGGAAGCTAAGCAGGGTCGGGCCTGGTTAGTACTTGGATGGGAGAGATACGTGTTCTCAGAGCCTTCTGACCTGTTCAGGGGCAGATATCAGCTGTACTAAAAGCTCTCCATGTCTGTTTGCCAGTGTGAAGATACCTGGTTTAGTAGGAATCCTTTCAAGATTGGGAGTAGGTGAAATTATACTGGGAATTGTCATTCCTTGGTAGGGCACATTTTTGGTGTGTTGCCTCACGCATTGCCTCTACTACACTACTCAGTTATATACCTCCCTACCTCTTGTTTGGGAACCTTTTCCAGTCATTTGTGTGTTTTTTTTTTTTTTTTTTTCCCAGTCATTTGTGAGGTACCCTGCACAAAAATGTGCGTTGGTGTCGTGCCGGCCCTGTCCCCGGGGTGCGCTGAGATGGCGAATGAGACTAGACACCTGAGAGGCAGAAAACTGGAGAGTCACTATGAGTCCCATCTACATAGTGAGACCCTGTAAACCCTGTACTAAATACATGAAAAAAGAAGTGCTTTGAGTGACACTTGGCCAAGTAACACAGCTTGGATAGCAGAGTTGCAGGAAAGGGTCTCTATGCTGGGGATTTCATCCCTTACAGTTTTTTTTTTTTTTTTTTTT